GGAAAAGAAGGAAAGGAAAAGAAAACATGAGAAGGATAAAATGGAAACAAAGCTTTATAAATAAGGAGGGGAAGAGGGGTTAAAGGGCGGGGAATGGGGAAAAAAGAAGAATCAAGATATATCATGTCCAGATACAAATTTTTTTACAGGGAAAGTGATCATTATGTATGTCTACACTGTACCAATAAACTTAATAAAAAAAAAATCCTGGTTCCACCGGGCATCCACTGTTAGTTGATTTCTTGGTAACAGTCATTGTTTCCTGGCGTGAGATGGAACCTCCATGAGGTGACAACTAGGACAAGACGACTCTCCTTCAGTGCAGTTGTGAGTGTCCTGAGATGACAATGACTTTCCATGCTCTAAGAAATGTGGTTAGATCTCCACAATGCATCTGGCCTTTCTCACTAACCTGCACACTCTGAAGAGTAATTCCGGGGGAAAATCCCCCCCAAATCTCAAAGCATCGGGTTTACGTTCACAGTCTTTCCCAGCTCAGCTCCTTCTGTGCGATCTGCACCCCCAGGCCCTTTGGGTGTCCCATTCTTGCCCTGCTCATTGCCAGTAAAGCATGCAGGACACATATGACTGCGGCCGTGGAGGGAGTCCAGTGCCAGAGCCTTGGCTCCTCTTGCACGGGAGGTTGCCTGTCTTGACCCAGGCCTCACACTTTGCCCGCCATGAGGAGGCAGGGACCCAGCCTTGCGCCAGGAGTCACCTTTGTCCCCAGGACCTCTGCCTTGCAGATTTCATGCTTTGAGCAACAAGGGAACAGCCTGTTAGCCCAGATTCTCAGGTGCCCCCACATCTTTCTGGATATTTCTGCAGGCAGCTCCCTCTGGAAAAGTCTGGGCCCAAAACTGGAAAAACCAGCACTCTGGTGCCTTCTTCCATGGGCACCCCCACCCTTTGCCTTTGGTCTCTGATATGATTCAACCCAATATTTCCTTTCTTTTCTGAGATTCTCCCTGACATCTGTTCTCGCTGACATCTGGGTACAAAGCAAAATGCTGGCTTATCAAAGGATGCTCAGAAACAGGGGCGGCACAGGCCCTGAGACTGAGCTCACTCTACCCAAGGCGACTCAGCATTTGTGGGGATGTGTGTCCAGTACCTTGTGGCTGTTCACCTCGAAGGGGATTCCCCAAAGACAGCCTTGGGCGGGGTCTGCTCCCCTCCACCAGGTGCAGGACGCCTCTAGCAGGCGGGATGAGCCCTCAGCTACCTGGAGCAGCTCCACCTGCTTCTGCTGTCCTCGGAGACCCTTGCCTGGTTTCTGCCCCAGGAAGACCTAGTAAGCACCTCTGCAGACGCTCCCAGGCGAAACACTTGTGTCCTCCACATTCAGGAGAGCCCCAGCGCACGGATTAGGGGCTCACTCCAGCCATCTGGAATACGGGCCCAGAGGGAGCAGAGGGCAGCTGTTTAGGCAGTGGGATGGAAGGCAGCTGGAGGAGGGCACAAAAGGGATCAGCTTCTCTCTTGCACTGCTGGCTCATGGAACGAACAAGATCCTCCCTACTCGCCTCTCCTCTTTCTCGATTCTGCTGTTTCTCCTGGCCCTTCCACGTGTGCACAGAAATGTGTCCTCCTTCTCCTCCACTCCTGTGGGTCTGAAGCCTGTTCCCACAGCGGGCACCTCTGTTAGCATCTTACCACACTCATCACAGTCTGTTCACAACTTGTTTCTCTTCCACCCAAAGACTCAGGCTAAGGCAGAGACCTCGGGATCTTCAACGCTTTGATACAGAACTGGGGCTCAGAAAACCAAAAGAACGTTGTTATGGTTTGTGTCTGCATGTCCCCCCAAATCCTCATGCTGTCATGGGGAAGGCTTCTAGATTTTTGATTGATCCATAGTCTACTGTTGGGATTATGGGTGTGAGGGCTACACCCGCCCTGGGGCAGGTAGTTTGCATACAATGTAAGGCAGGGAAAGAGGCTGCTTGCCTCTCCCCTCCTTTGCTCTTGTTGCTTTTGCTGTCCTCTGCCCCCATGAATGCTTGCCCCTTGCTATGTGCCACTCTGCCTCGGAGCCAGCCAAGTATGGACTGAAACCTCCACAAACTGTGAGCTAAATAAACCTTTCCTTCCTTCACTTTGGGTGTTGAGTATTTTGTCTCAGCAACGAGAGAGAAAAGTCACCAAGACAAATGTGAAGTGCTCCAGGGACATGTCCTGGTCAGAGGTATAATGAGCCTGGACTGGACCCTGTGCTTCACACATACCAAGTAAAGGAAAGGGAATGTATTGCCCACTGACCCACAGACCAGACCAAAGGAGTCAGAGATGGAGTGAGGAGGTCATTAAAGCCTTTTGCCCCTGGCTCTGCCTTCCTGCTGGGATGACAGCTGCTAAGCAGAAAAGGAGGTTGACGTAAGTGAATGTGAGAAGGTCCTGGCCACTGCTGTGTCTTGAAGGCTGTGAGGTGGCAGGACCACCAGAGCCCTGACCTGACCCAGATCGCATGCATTCTTCCACTCCTCCTTTCTGGTGAGTGCCCTATGCTGGGAGGATCTCTTAGGATGGCAACTCTGTAAAAATAGTAGAGGCCAAAAAAATCTCCCCTGAGCACTTATTATGTGCAAAGAAGACACTGTCCTCCCCTGGGAGCCACAGACACATCACCGCGGGGAGTGTTTCTCTTGCCAGTGCCAACACTCTATTCCAGGATCCGGTTTTGGCTGCGGACAATCGGTTATTTGGAAGCAAACTATTAGAATGACTTTTATAGCTAAGGATGCCAATTGTCTGGCTTGGGGTTAGGCTGTCTGGTTTAGAGCTGGGTCACTGAGTTCTGGAACACATGGTTCAGCATGCATTTGAAAGGGCAGGCTAAATGCAAATCACCTGCTTTTGGTGAATGAGCTTGCATAACAGGAGGCTCAGGGGTTGCAAGTTCCTCTGTGTCCCAGGCGTGGGAAGGGACATTTAGGAAAGCCCTTGAGGAAAAGTCCATGCTGGTATCAGGAGCCGCTCCTCAGAGATGAGTTTTAGTTGCTCCCTAGAGATGATTTTGAGTACCTTTATTTATTTATTAAAGGAAACTGTACCAGTTTAGTTTTAACGTAGTAGTGGATTTACACTATTTTTAGCTGATTGTTAATTCTTGAAATTTTAATAGTACAGTAGGAAACTCCTTTTTTTGAGGTAGGGATTGAATCTGGGGCCTTTGACTGAGCTACATCCCCAGCCATTGCTCCCATTCCTTTTTAAAATTTTGAGGCAGGGTCTTGCTAAGTTGCCCAAGCTAGGCTCCAACTGGGTCTGTTTCTAAATATAGGTTGCTACCCATGGCTTAACTTTGAAAGAAACGTCCCATGTTTATTTCTCTTATTCTCTTTTGGGGAGTTAGCTGAGTAATAGCTAAAACTCAACTGTGAGCGCTTTCATGGACAATGGCAAATCCCACATGAACAATAAATGGTGCCACCAGCAATGGGTACGTTTATATTGGCCAGTGGAAGGGAACCTACTCTCTTTCACTAAAGAGAGTAGTGGCCCACAAACAGGAAGTGGCTACTGGGGGATGGCAGAGACTGAGCTGAGTTACTTTCTCTGGGTGACTGTGAGCCCAGCACACCATGGAAAGTGCCAAAGAACACATGAAACTACTACAGATTAGAAAATGATACTTTCTTTTCAGAAATTAAAGCTCTTAAAGGGATGTGCGATTTCAAAGGTTTGGTGGACCTGTTTCTCAGTGGGAGGTGACTCAGTTTCAGTAGCCAAAGAGAAGAGGGAGTGGACCGGGACCATTATTACTGCGGGTGGGGCCCCGGGGGGAAGGTGAGCGGGGAGGTAGAGGATGAAAAGCCATCTCCTAGGTGCAGGCAGAAAATGCAAAGGCTCCTATTGATCCTCATTGATCTCACCTTTTAAAAATGTCTACTTTTGGTGCTTTATTAGGGAGTACTGAAAGGGTATGGAAAGGTGCACTCAGCGACTATTGTCATGCAAGGGAAGGCAGGCGGGTGGCTGGATCCGGACAGAAAGAACTGGAGATGTGGGTTAGCTCAGAACCCAGACGTCTTTGTGTTCCAAGAAAGGGAATGTGGTGGCCTTTGGGAAGATTCTGGAGAGAGGCTGACACTGACTTTTGTTAGTGAAGGACTCTATGAATAGCGCTGTGTTATATTCTGCTTATTGCTTTTCTATTATTGCATATGCAATTTATGCACAAGCTCATTCTTTCACTTATTTGTTATTCATCTGAGGAATATCTCATTTAATACTCACAAACAGCTGGAGAAGAAGGCTGTGCTTTTCTCAGCTTTACAACCAAGAAGCTAAACCTTAACACTTAAGTAATTTGCGCAACACTGCATGGTTTATACCCCGTAACTTCGATGTGTTCGTGCTCAGGTTTATGGCTGATTTCCTTATATGTTGGGTTTGCAATGCTGTAGAGACTATCCTTAAATTTTATTTTTCATTTAGAGGTGTTTTCCATTGTAGATATTTTAAAGAGATGCTCGCTTCCTCCTCCAAGCTGTTCTTGGTCTTCTTTATCCTATAAGGAAGAAAACCTTCGCTTGTTTCTAGAAATCTGTAGTTTCTGGTTCCCCTTGTTTCTGTCTCTCTAGTGCTGTGTGAACACCTCAGGGCTGGGTACCAGGGAGTTGCCGGAGGGTGGCACTGAGAAGGCACAAGGGAGCAGCTTGCTCTGGTCCTAGAGACATGATTAAAACACACCCGGTTTCAGCATTAACTGGTAAATCTGATGCAACTTCCATATAACCCCTAAATGGTTTTAGGCGCATGTAAAGGAGCCCTAGGTTTTTCTTTTTAAAATCAGACACCAATAGACATGTTTCGTTTTCATATGATCTCACCTTAGGGACCCTTCAAAGTGATTCCCAACTCAGAAATTTAAATCCATTTCCTATGCTTATTTGTTCCTCGGTGTCCTCAGGGTTAACGCTTCCTCTGCCATGAAAGGAAGGATGTTGGGAAAGAAGAAGTGTCCCTGCCTGGAGTGTTAGATGTTGCTTGGGTGTGTTCGGCTTTCATCCACAGAGAGTTCAACCCCCCCACCCCCTGGCGATGATTTAAAGGAAAACAAAAGCCCACCGCCAATTCTTTCATCTCTGGGAAACAGGTGGGACCTGAAGACGTTTGCTTGTCTTCCTCAGCCCGGCTGGCGAAGCTGGGTAAGTAGCCTGACGCTGGTGTCCTTTCCATCCTTTACCCCCAGCCTTCAGCACTCTAACTCCCCGGGGGAGCCAGCCCCACCCCACCTCAGGCCAGCCCCCCAGGAGTTTCCTTCTGTTCCTCCGTGATTAACCACTTCTGCCCTGGCAGCGGCAGCAGGCACCTGTACCAGGAGAGCCTCTTCGCGGCTTCTGGGCTTTCTTCAAGCAGCGTTTTCCCCTCGAGGTCCTCACTGGTAGTGAAGCTGCTCCCTTGCATGGTCTTCCTCTTATTTTCTTCAGAGATGCTGATTTTGGTCACCACCTAGCAGCTTCTGGTAGTGGTAAGTGGTCAAGAGCCTTTTTCCAAGAGTTGATGTCAGGTTTTCAAGAATGGCCCCTGGAGACCCAGTTTGTTTTCTATGCAATTACTAGAGCTTTCAGAATAGTCTGGCTTTCCCAGTGCTATGGGCACGGAATGGATGCTAGTCTGATCTTCCTCCCGCTGGTGGGAAATCTCCCTCTGGGTGAGGGGCCAGGTCCCGCCGAGGTGAGTAGGTGGGAAGCCGTCCAAGGTTGGAGAGAAAAGTGGAGCTTCAGCTCGGGGCTGGCTGGGGCTTTCTGTTTCCTCCTTCCACATTCCTCTTTTGGTTTGCTATTTTCATCTACGTGGTTGAGGTCTAGCAAATATGCTGTGCTATTTACCTTTTGCTAGAATATAATTTTAGGGGAAGTTTATTGGGAGTGGAAGATACAGCACCATCGCTTTTTTGTTTGAAATCTATTTTTTTTGTTGTTGTTCCAGCATCACCTACAAATAACAATAGAAGTAGCATAAATGTACATTTCTTCTTGGTTTGTGAGTGTTGGTCATTTCCTTTCACGGTAGTTGGTTTTATATTTTTAAAGAAGGTTTTATCTGTCGCTCTTACTTGAGGTGCTGTGGTTCCGTGATGAATTTGTGCTGTAGGTGTGACAGTTGGCGCTGGGCTGGGCCTCTGGGGCTGGTGGGTTTGGTTTTCAGTGCTGGGATTTGCCTGAATAGAAAAAATTGATCCTTCTGGCTGTTTTGTCAATAGAGAGGACAGTGTCTCAGGTCTCTGGCTAAGAGCTGTTTGGAGGAAAAAGAAGCTGATGAGAAGCACTAACCGGGGCCCAAAGACTTATTAGAAAGGGATGAGGAAATACAAGGTTTCATCTGGAATCAGAGCAGCTGTGCCGAGGAGTCACCTGGCTCCTTTGCTTAGGTGTGGCTTCCTGCTGGTCCATTGCTAAATGAAAAGTCAGGGTGATTTTGCTTAACTTTTGTTTATGGCACTTTCATATTATATTAGGCATGACTCTTCATAAATGAGTACCAGTGATTTTTGCTGGGCATTTTCTGTGTATGTGTGTATATATGTGTGCCCATTTTCCTGGGCATTTTCTGTGTATGTGTGTATATGTGTATGTGTTTGTGTGTGTGTGCATGCGCACATGCAGGAGTGTTTTATTTTGCTCATATGTGGAGAATTAGATATATTCATCTAGTAGAAAAACAGTTATTTAAAAGGAAACTGGAAATTGTAACTGCTGGAACTAACACTTCTTAAGGGATGCATTCTAGTTGCTTGTAGGGCATACGGGAGGATCAAAAGGTAGGATTTCTTGTGAGGATTTCTCCTGGAAAGATATAAAAGAAAATGGTGATCTCTTAGTGGTGTTGGAGACTTTAAATATTGGTAAATAATTTTCTAAGGAAGTATCGAGCATTGCTTCAGGACACGTGATCCTGCCTTGCTGGGAGGCTACACTTCTTCCAGCGCCCTCTGATTTCCTCAGCTGCAGTGTGCAGGGCCCCCGTCCCACAGGGGTCCCCCGGGGCGAGAGGGCACAGGGCGGGAGCGCAGGCTCTGTGCTTGTTCTTTATGGGCTTTTGCACCCCGCTGTCCGGTCCCACCCCTCTTCACTCTTGCTCTTGCTGAGTGAGACTGTCCATTCCCTGTGACTCCGGCACTTCCCCAGGTGTCGGGGCCTGCGGGTCTCACCTTTCTCTTCAGCCCCGAGGATATTTTCAATGACCAAGAGGCATTTGAAGCGTAATCAAGTTGAACTCCTCGTTCTCCTGGCCCTGTTCCTGCTTCTGCCCTTCATCTCCTCCTTCTCCTCTCACTGAAGTGCGTGTCACTTTAGTTGATGGCAATGCCCTAGGTGGCACTTCAGCTTGCTCCTCGGTCTGCACCCCACGCGTAAACCCGGGTTGTCCCGTTGCAGCGGTGTTTCTAGAAAGGGCTCCATTTCCCCATGGTCACTGCTCCCAAATCTCTTCTCACACGGCCTGTGGTGGGCGAGTGTCTTCCGAAGCACTCCGACTGCGCGGCCGGCCCAGGGAGACACAGGGGCGATGAGCTGGGCAAGGGGCTGGCTCTGACCGGGCCCTTCCACGCCAGCACCTCGTTGCTCCCAGGTAAGCTGCAGGTCGACCACAGGCTCGTGACTGTGACGATGCCCCGTGTCACTTCATCTGCACAACGGGGCAGCGGCGGTCCCTGCCTCTGTGAAGCTCAGTGAGGTAACACAGGCCAAGGGCCCTGCACGGGCCAGCTCCCCAGGGGTGGGAGGGCGGATGACAGTGAGGAGGCCGAGGTTGATGAGGTCCTTCAGAACGCTGCTCCTACCGCTCGGCCACACGGCATGTGCCGAGCCTTGTGATCTCGTGGCCGTGGCCGGAACTGCTCCCCGACCCTTGGTCTTCCTGTGCACTGCTCTTTTCACCTGCCTCACCTTGTTTTGTTCAGTGAACTCTTCTTACTTTCAAGGGGACTCAACTCGGAAGCCCATCTGTGAGTCCTGGCTGACTCCAGTGAGGGGGCAGCTCCAGGGCAACTCCGCGCTCTGCCTCCACGGTGCCCTCCTTCGCCGTCCTGGCGACACTCCCTCGTGCCAGCTGTCCCCATCTCCCCGGCACAGCTGGCTCAGGAAGGCTGGCGTGTGTCTTTGCCGCCTTCGTGCCCAGCCCAGGCTGGAAACAGGGTGGAAGACCTGACCGAGCCCTGAGCAGGGATGACTGCGCCACCAGAGGGACAAGGTGGCACTCACATTGGACAGCGGGTTTCCTACGTGTGGGAGTGTAAAAATACACTTAAGAAAAAGGAGCATCATAGCAGCTTTCCTTTCCTGGGTACCATTTTGCAGCTGGAGGCTTTGTGCCGGTCACTTGTCAGACCTGGACTAATCCTGTTTTCCTGATAATCCTGGGAGTTACTGTGTGCTCAGCTGGAGGTGACACAGAAGGTTGGCTAGAGGTGACAGGTCAGTGGGACCAAGCCTGGGGCCACCGCGTTCCAGCTCTGGGGAGAAAGAAGGAAGCGAAAAGGGGAAGGAAGGTGACTAACTGCGGAGGCACATCTGGGAGAGAAGGACGAGCTCGGAAGGAGGGGCAGGGCAGAGGACGGGCCGCTGGCAGACGACGGGCCGCTGGCAGACGGGAGGCGCGAGGGGCAGGTAAGCGGAAGGGAGGCTGCGCTGCTCTGCGGCGGGGTGGTGGCTGCTCGCCTGGCAGAGCACAGGCTCCAGCGTTAACTGTTCACGACTGCGTGAACCCGACAGGCAGAACACGGGAAGTGAACTGAGCGCCGTGCCGGCGCGGTAAGCACCGCCAAGCAATTTATACATTTGGCTGAATTAATCCTCACTTTTATCCTCGCACACGTCCAGGCGTGGACACACGCAGGGTGGGTTCCGTTATTTTTTACTTCTGCTTTTGTCCGATATCTGCAGTCTACAAGCACTGACCGCAAATACCGTCAACACACCTGCCTTGCTCGGACCTCGCGCTCAGACGTATCAGGCAGATGCCCGGGTGTGGCCTGGCCCCTCACCAGCCTCCCCTCCCACGCTGGCTCCTCTGCTGCCCAGGGGTCCCCCCTCTGGGTTATGGGCTATGGGCGGCTCCCAGCCCCACTGCCCACCAGGGACCCCGTTCTGGGTCTGCAGAGTAGGGTTGCCTGTGGCCCCAGCTGCGTGGTGTCGGCATCCAGGCAAGGGAGGACCCCTGAGGCTTTTCCTCCTCAGGCTCTGGGGAGCCGGGCCCGAGGGAGGTGAGGGCAGGGCTAGGACCAGGGGCAGGCGAGGCAGCGGGGCGCAGAAGGGCCGAGCTGGGTCCTCAGCTACTCGATGGTGGTTCCCAAGCTCGCTACCGTGCAGAGCCTCCTCCCCACCGTTCTCAGACTTGGAAAGAAAGTGAAATGAGCTAGGAGGAGCATGGAGCAAGGTCGGGGGCTGAGGACACTGGGTGCCAGGGGAGAGAAGGAGGGAGGCGGAGGAGGGCAGGCAGGGTGCGGAGGAGGACGAGGGAACAGGTGCTCAGGCGCAGAGGCTTGCAGAGGCTCGGAGGCCTCCACTGCGCAGGTGTGGGGCCCTGGCCTTGGGAAAGGGGCGTGCCTCGCTCGAAGTGACACTAGACAGACAGTGACTGAGGTGCGATCTGCATCTTGTCACCTTCCAGCTCTCCCAGGAGCTCTGTCTCCCACAGGAAGGAGAAACAGTGGAGTAAAGGGGCGGAAGGAGAGGAGGGTGGCTGCCGGGCGGGCTTGTGGAGCCACGCTGGGGCCTTTCCTTTCCTGAGGGCCATGGAGAGCCCGTGCTCCATGGAAGCAGAGCGCCCAGCTGGCGGGGGCCTCCCAGGTCGCCCGTGACTCTGAGATGGACATGGGCAGGCAGGGGTCCCCTGGGGGTGAGGCTGCCTGGGGTCTGCCCACCCTCCTCTCCTGCCCGCGGGCTCTGGTTTCCCCTTCAGTGGCTCCGGCCCCTTCCTTTCTCCTCTTTCTGCCAGTCCCCTCCCAGCCCTGCACCTTTCTGTCGCTCGACCTTGCCTTTCCTAATCTTGCTTCTCCCACAGGCTGTGTCCCCTCAGGTCACTCTCCCACCCCATCTCCCCACCACAAACATATATTTAGTACTTTTTTGAGGTTGGGGAGATCTACCTAAGTTGCCCAGGCTGGGCTTGAACTCATGATTCACCTGCCTCAGCCTCCCGAGCA